CTGTGAGCAGAGGTGTCAATAATAAGACAGAATGCTCAGAATAGATGGTGTCATAGTTAAAGAAGCTGGTGGTGTGGGGACCACTTGTCCCTACAACCTCCATTTGACAATATGTTTATTCCATTCTCTTTACATATATCTATTTTCCCATATCTGTCTCTCCCTCTTCCTCTTTTTTTCCTCCTTCCCTCCTTTCCTCCCTCCCTCTCGCTCCTCCTCTCTTCTTCCCTCTCTCCCCCTCTAAACTCTTCCCTTTCCCTCTGCTCTCAGTTACTCTTCTCCTTCCTTCTCATCTCTTCACTCTTCCTCCACCCTTCCTCCTTCTCTGATTCTCTTGCTGTCTAAATTTCCAGCATTCCTTCCATCTTTCCTTCCTGCTTTGCTTTTGGTCTGTCTTCTGTCTCTCTTTTCACCGTGTCTCTTCTGTTTTAACTCCTGCTTTAATCTCTGCCCTGCCTTCTCTCTCCCCACCTTATTCGCCTCACCCTCTATGTCTCTGTCTCCCTTTGCCTGCCTGAGTGCCTGGGCATCTCTCTTACTGAGTGTCTCTGTCTCTTCTACAAGGCTGATTTCTAACTATCACGGCATCTCTATTTATGATCCGTTTCTCACCACAGTCCTATGCCTGCTTCATATTCAACTGTTAGCATCCCTTTATGTACTGCTTCATTCTAAGCATGCTAGTATATGCTTAATAATTAAGGCTGTAATTAAAGTGTAACAGCAAGTATAATTAAAATTCACTTTAGTGGATCCTGGAATTATGAAGCAATTAGGCATTTTGACACAGCACCGGAGAAGCTGCTTAGAAGAGAGAAGGACATGTGTTTCTGGGGCACTGCTCTCTCCCTTTCTTCTCCTGGCCCTGCCACTGTTCTAGTCTTAGAAAAGGCCTGTCTTGCATGAGGCCCATGAACTGCAGGTCTGGAGAGTGGCAGGGCCTAGAGTCCTCACTGGAGGAGAGCCAGGGCACCTCCAGCTGCTCAGGGCTCTTGTCAGAGACAAAGGGGCCCTGAGCAAGGCCTCTGGAAACCAGTACATAGTCCTCTTATGTCACCTCAGGCAATTTGAGGTTTCAATTTCAACCCTGTAAGAAAGGCTGAGTTGTTGGCCCAATGCAGTGATGAAAAGGTCCATTCACACCTGTCCTCAGGCGCCTTTGTATGTGAGCTCCACTTATGAGTACTTAGTCTGACAGCAAGTATGTAGTATGTGGCAGACTTGCACAGCATTCCAGTGAGAAGGCTTGACAAAGTAAACCAAAAGTTTGGTGGGGTGAGGGGAGGCTTACTAAACCAACCCAATAAGGCCCCATCTGTTGCATGATTTTAGAAGTGTGAGGAACTCTGAAGATCATTTTAAAAGCTTAGGTTAGCTGGGAAACCAGGAGCAGAGCCATAGAAGGCATACCCAACACCATGTAACTAACTCACAACTGCTCAAGAACGCTGGGGCCAGCCCAGCAGAGAGGACAGCTGGGCTCTGAGTGCAGTCCACACCCATGGACCAAGGCCCAGTGTCTAGACATTCATGAAGGTCCAGATCATCCTTTTTTCTTTGCCCCCAGGATTAGTGGTGCTGAATGGGTGCTGCAGGGTTATTAATTAAGGAATTCAATTATTTAGGCTACCGTTTCAGGAAGAACAGCCTTTTTAAGCTATTTAGCACATACACATGGAAAGAAGCTTGGGTAAGATGGAATGAGCGTTTCTCAGAATTAGTGGAACCATGAGATAACTCAGCCCCAGGAAGAGCTGTGTGTGTGTGTGTGTGTGTGTGTGTGTGTGTGTGTGTGTGTGTGTGTGTGTGTGTGTGTGTGTGTGTGTAGGCTGTGGAGCAGTGTGTGTGTGTGTGTGTGTGTGTGTAGGCTGTGGAGCAGCAATCCAGCAGCACTGAGGAGGTCTTGATTGCTGTGTGCTGAAGGTGAAGGACACCAAGGAGCCAGGGGGGAGAGAGAGAAGAGCCTTTGGTATCTTCACTTACATCTCTGCCCTGGCACCCTGGAATACAGACAGAAGGGATTTCTAGTCCATGTCTCCATTGAGGGAAATAGAAATTCACACATTTAACTTTCATTCACCTTCTGGTCTAGAGACCAGTTCACTTCTGTGTCAGTCAGGGCTTTTGTTTCACACTCTGTCATCACTCTGTGAAAGTCATGCCTACAGATTAATGTCTAAATTCCTTAGCCTCCTGTCTAACACCTGACACAGTCTAGTCCCCTGTCCTGGTTTTCAGGCTGAGACTGGCTAAAACCTTACCAAATGAGTCAAATGCACATCAAGGTTATATTGATGAAATAATAAACTTTTAACATCTGTGTTAGTTTTCTATCCATTTGTAACAAATGATTCCTGAGCTTGACATCAGAGCAGAAGGAACACGAGTGTCTCCCAGATCTGTGATCAGGAATTTGAGTGTGGCTGACCTGCTCCTCTCATTCAAGATCACTCACAAGGCTGTCTGGCAGGGCCATGCGTGTCTCAGTGCTGACCCACAGGAGAGCTCTCTTCTAAGCATGCACACATGGTTGTTGGCAGACGCCCTTCCTCAGGGCCTCATGTCTCAGGAACTGCCGTCCAGAGGCTCTCCTTAGATCCATGCCACGTGGGCTTCTCCACAGGACAGCTCACAAAATGGCAGTTTGCCAGGGTGAACAAATGAAGAGTCAGAGCGAGCAACATGGAAAGCATGGTATTGTCCCTAGTCTCCAAAGTGATGTTCCATCACAGTGCCTATAATCTTACTCATCAGAAGCTGCACTGGGTGACACTGAAGGGGGAAAGATCATATCAGGATACGGACACCTGAAGTGGACTCATCAATTAATCATTTGAGAGCCATTTAAGGAGCTACAGATCCCAATATTTACACAACAAAGTAATGTGTTGCTCAAAGTCCTGCCAGACAGTGAACAATTGAGCAGTGCTAAAAATGCTAGGCATGCCACTAGAGAAAGCTCTTGGAGGAAATGAGTAGAAGGGGTGCTTTACTTAGTATACATTCAAGGATCACACTGAAGGAGCCATTGCCATCTTCAAAAAGATGTCTTCCAGGGTTGGCCTAGCAGACAACATTCTAGAAGGAAGACAGTACAAAAAGAGTATGGAGGTTCACACTGTACGTGTGGGCATGTTCTCTATCCATTCACATCCCACTGGCAGGAACTTTGTGATCCTGTTTAGATGAAAAGAGGGCCTGGGAACATAGTTTCTGCCTGGGCAGCAACTCCCTAGCAGCAATACTGTACTGCCCAAAAGTAACAGGAACCTTTGGGGTCAGCCGCCACATTCGCTTGGCCACTGATAGAAACAGTTGCTCGTGAATTGTTTCATTTGCTTCTGATCACAGCCTGTGTTTCATCTATACTGTCTTCATCTTACAAACAGGAAGACTGGCATATGTCTCAAAACACTTGAGATTGTGTATTACAGAGAATAGTTCAAGTCCAGTCTTTGTCCCAGATAATCTTCTATGTCACAGTTAGCCCACCTGTAAAACAAAGTCAGTGGAGTCTATCCACAGTTTTTGTGAAGGTCTTACATGCTGCATGTAAATTACTCAGCCTTATCCCTGGCATGTATTACTATGCAGAGTATTCTGCGGATAATGGACATGACAGTGTAGAGATAAAGAAATTGAGGCTTGGCTACTCTAATGATTTTCCAAACACTGCTCAGTGAATGCAAAGCCAGAGGGTGAGGGATTTCAGGTGGCATCCAGCCCACATTTGGGGGAATTGCTTTCCATTCCGGTATAAAGTACCATGAGTAAGATCTAGCAGAAGACAGAGTGCCCAGCCTCCCTTCCTGGCTGTTCTGGTGGACTCAGAGACCCAGAAGAAGCCAGGATACCTTACTTTCTCATTCCAGCTGCTTCTGTTTGACCTACTGACCAAATGCTTGTTCCTATTTGTATTCTGTGCAGTAAGGCAGGCTCCACAGCCTGTATTTCCAAGTCTTTGTTTATAAATTCTGTCTTGCCAACTGCATAAAAACACAGGAAATAAATTAAAAGGAGGATTTGATTAGACACTTAAATCACCTATTTCCCTCTGAAAGAATCAAAAGGACCCATATTAAATAGGTAATGCAGAAGCACCCTTGGGCTTGCCTGGCAATTACTACAGACCCACCAAGAATGGTTAAGAGATAGCACAGGCTGCACTGCTCCTTTTCAAGGCTGCTGCCCACTAAATAGAACAGAAGAGGACATTTGAAAGTTGCTAAGAGTCTCCAAAGCAGTGGATTCCTGTGCATGGGTGTGAAGACTTTCAAAAGTTCAATTCTCTGATCAGGTCATGACTTACAATCCTGCCTACCACCAGATCTTTGCAGCAGGACACTCTTGATTGGACGAGTCCCACATGAAGTCAACATCTTTGTGTGTGATAATACTGCAGCCATCTTCGTCTCTCTCAGTAGAAGCCCACTTTCCTCATACGAGTCCTTACTTTCATCAGCTTTAACTGGACCACAGTTTGAGGTAGACATTGCCACATAGTCTTCTCATCAGTGACCTGGATTAGAACCTGTGTTTACTTCATCTCCTGATGAAAAGCTGTGTGTGGCAGCTGAGTTGCATGACCCTTGTGGTACTCCAGTATCCACTCCAAGCATACACCTGACTGTGTCATTCTCAGGGTTTGGTGTTTTTTTTTTTTAACATTTTCTTTTGGTTCTACACAGATGAGTATTTACACTAGGGCACAAATCCAGTGCAGAAGACTTTTCTTCCCCAACATATTGGGCAAGTAATTGTGAATCTCTTTTTTGCATAACATTAAGGATAGCCCATTACTCTTTGTATAAGTGCCATAGAAAATATAGGCTTTATAATATTACTTAGTAGAAGTGAGAAGAGAAGTGTCAGCTCTGGATTACAAAAAGCTGAAACTGTTGCTGTTAAATTGTGCTAGTGTCAAGATTCCAATTGTGCAGCTTGACTCAGTACCACCTGCAGCACCATTACTCAGTGATGGTCCTTGTTCCCCTTTCTAGGAACTAATGTCAAGGAGGCCCAGAGCATCCTCAGTAACAGTGGACTCCCCATAACTTCAGCAGTGGATCTGGAGGATGCAGCCAAGAAGGCTGTGGCCAGCGTGACAAGGAAGTGATGCCTTCATTCTGCGCCCCAGGAGAAGGGATGGTTCTCTTTTCACTGTGAAGAAATGGCTCTTTCTCAGGAAAGGCTGGGGGATGAGCAAGAATCACTGTATAAAAATCTGAAATCTGACTTTTCTCAACTAAGATATCTAGGCTGCCTGAATCTGAATTTACTTATATACCTTTATAAAAACAATGTCCTACAGTTTCATACTTTGTCATGATAAGCTTGCTCATTGAGCAGGATTTTCCAACTTTGGAAGCAGTCTGTGTGGCCAAATAATGTAGGTACAGGATGAGAAGACAGATCTGGGCTCATTCACAAGAACTTTGCTGCCATTTAATCCTCTATAATAGAAAAATCACAGCCCATAAAAAAAATCTCGGGATTATATTTAACATATTAACTACCAGAAGCCAAGGTATTTGAGCAAATAGCTTTTGAACACTTCAGCAGGTTTTATAAGTTCCTATTTACAGCACACTTAGAAAATCCATAACTATTCTAAAATGTGTCTTCAAATGGAAGCTCCACATTAATATATTGTGCCTGTATTTTACCATTTGCCTTAATATTGAAAATACTGTTTACCTCACATTAAAATTGAAACCTGAAGCCTTACACAATTGTGACTTTGCAGTAAAAGATTTTAATGTCAGAACTGAGGACTACTGGCTGGTGTGAAAAAGTCTTTGTAACTAAGTCATATCGTGAGGACACAGCTCTGAAGATCACACTGTGTTCACAGTCAGAACCTTCTTTCTCATCCCTCACCCCCACTACCAGCTTGTGGCAGAAAATTAAGAAAATATAATGGAGGCGAATGCAACTTGTTTCCATAATGTCCATTTTGTGGTGGAAAATTTGTTAGACTTTTCTTTAAACTTTGATAAATTTTTATCTATATCCAAATTTAAATAAAATTATGTTTTATAAGCTCTAAGACATGTGTGTGTGTATGTGTATATGTGTGTGTGGTTTTCAGTCAGTTTTATTCTGAAACAAGTTTTCTCTAATTAGGTCTTTGTGCTTTAGGCATAGCTCTAAAATTAGAAAATCTCAGTTGTCCTGGGATTATTGTGTTCCCTCTCGAGACATTTTTATAGCAAAATACAATTCAATGAAAGAATAAATGTTTGGTTTAATGAAGAAGCCTAAGTGACTGTCTCAGGTTTCTTACAGATATTACATCAGTCTGTACAGTACCCAAGGAAATACACTGGCATGATCTCCCATTTAATGGGATAAGTCGCCATCACTAATAAATTTCCTTTCAGTGCATCAGCATGTACCAGTAATACTTGTTTGTTAGTTTGTTATTGACTTAAATTGTTCCCATAAATTTCACATTACCTTCCCCACTTCCCAAGTCATGACCACATGTAAGACAAGCAGCAGAGGGACAGAGGGGCAAGTGATAAATGGTTTTATTTATTAAATGTTCCATCAATAGTACACTGCCTCAGAGAAAGAGATTGAATAGTTAGTTTTTCCTTAAGTTCAGAGGGATGGAAGACTGATCTCATATAAGAGATCATAGGGAGTTTGTACACAGTGTATCTGGGATGAGCATGGATAGATAAGTAAAAAACAAAATGAAGCAGCCTGGCATCTGTGCTACAAAATAATTGTAAGGGAACAAAGACACAAAGATAGAAAACTAAAAAACACTACACATTACACATAAGAGACACATGATCCCTTTTGAATAAGCACGTAAAAAAATTAAAGCTTTTTAGAAAAGTTTTGTGGTATAAAAATAAAAACTATTAACTTTAGTTAGGCAATAATGTGATCACAGACATAAACCAAGAAGAAAAGGGAGCTAACGAAACTAACTCAAGACTATGTAGAGAAAGTTAATACTGAATAATCAAGTCACAAAGATAGAAATCCTAAATAAATTACAGTGCACATAAGATCAACTGCCAGTGAAGAATTTTCTAGCCTGAAATACTAAATGTGTCAGATGAAAAAGCCCTAATTTAACTACACTTACTAATTCAGCATAATAAACTTGGTTATAGTTTCTTATTAATGTGAAAACTGTAAAACACTGACAAAATGCAGAGTGAGAAATGAAGAAGTTAAAGGACTCAGAAAAATATAGAGCAAAGATGATCCAACGTAAGAATAATTGGTATCCTTTATGTGGAAAAACCGCTGAGAAGTCATTTTTCTTAAGGATACAAAGAAATAAATGGTTATTGGGATCAATATAGAATTTTCTCTAAGGAAAAGAATACCATATTCCAGCAAATACCAATACATTGATATTTTAAGCACAGCATTTCTTAGCTTTAAAGATAAAGCAAGAACTCCAGGTGTCTTGGTACAACATGCAAAAGAGATTGTAAAGTATCCATCAACATCTGACTTACCCTTCTCAGCCACTTCTAGTAACAGATAATGAAGGAAATCTGTGAGGTCCTTAGGGAAAGAAAATTTTTCCCAAGAGTATCAAACCAAATGAACACTTTTATGCCTTTATTTTTATCTTTGAGGGGGTAAAATTGGAACTTAAATGTCCCAAGATAATTTGAATGATTTATACTCCATACAAACTCATATGGAGAGAATACCATGTGTATATATTATATATATGGCATTTATATAAATATATATTAAATTATGTAATGTTAATACCATATATATGATGGCAATATATGCTTATTATGAAAAATATTTGTTAAATAGGCTGCACAGATCAGTGACAAAGTTATATGTCTAGTCATTTTAAAAATGTATTCATATGGTTCACAATACCAAAAGGAAAACTGATTATAAAGATACAAACTAAAAGTAATTATGGGGGGATGGAAATCAGTGAGTTTTCTTTTTATTTTGCATAAAGGTTCTCTACTGAGGGAAGTTTTATTCCCATAGGCATATTTGTCAATATCTGGAAACATTTTTGTTAATCAAGACAATAGGAATGTCCTTTCCATCTAGAAAGGAGAAGATAAAGGAACGATTGGACATCCTACCACAGCATGCTGTTCTCCCCCCAAGAAGTGCTCAGCCCCTATGTCAGTAAGTATTGAAGTTTGAAAACCCATATTTAATTGACTATGGTAACTGTACACTACTGCATAATTAAGAGAATTTAGAAAGCAAAAGCACGAGCAGAAAGCTAGAAAAAGGTTTCTTCGGTAAATGTATTACATTTTAGAAGGTAGATATTCCTTTATCCCTTCCTCTGAGGTCTGAAATTCAATTTCCAAATATTTTAAAATAGAGCGAAAATTGATATGATACTGTTCTTTTAAAAAATACTCTGTTTTGGAAGCTATGCATGGTGGCTCATGCCTATAATCCTAGCTATTCAAGAGGCTGAGATCTGAGGATCACAGTTTGAAGCCAGCCCAGTCAGGAAAATCTGTAAGATGTTTATCTCCAATAAACTACCAGAAAGCCAGAAGTGGAGCTATGGCTCAAATGGTAGAGTGCTAGCCTTGAGCAGAAAAAGCTCAGAGACAGTGCCTAGGCCCTGAGTTCAAGCCTCAGAATGGCACAAAGTAAGGAGTAAATTAAAAAAAATCTATTTTGGAAGACAAATATTAGATTACTAGAAAAAATGATAAATATAAACTCAAATCAGTTTTCTTTCAAGTTGGTCTGTTTAGGTAACATTTTAAAATTCCACTCTACATTCCAGTATCTCAAAATAACATATGGCAATAGTTTAGGTCTGCAGTAATTAAATTACTGCTTCCAAACTAGTTTACACTTTGTGGATATACCACCCCATTTTCTGCAGTATATAGAAGCTACTTTTTCTATAGTGTTACATAAGTATTGGTGTTTTCCATGTTGTTTTGAGTCTCATAACTCTTGGAAGTGCAGTGTTTAAAATTCTAGTGTTTGAAAAAATGCCACATGTGTTTCAGTGATGAATGTCAAGTGTTATGTTGATCTATGTTGAGGCATTTAGTGAAGGCAGCTCTTGCTGTTAGGAAGAGTCATCATGTGAGGAGAGCCCAACTCCCCAGGAGCATGAGTGGGTAGAGGCAGCAAGTGGTGTGGCCCCCTGTGTATATAAAAGCGTGTGTTCAGGGCAGTCAACCATTCTGCTGGAGGGGAGCAAATTCTTCTCAGCATTGCCATCCAGCAAATGCTAATATTGCAAATGTGGCTGGTAAATTCCAGTTTATTCTGAGTCTTTTCATCGTTTGAAGCCAAGCCTCTTCAGGATCACTTCCCAGAATGTGCCATTTAAAAACAGGGCTTGGAAAATGTAGCTAATTAAGTTTAATTCAAACAAATGTTTATGTAACATCTGCTCTCCCCTGGCAACAAGGCAGCTGCAGGGGAAAAAAGAAACACGGATTCAATGAAGATGAACCCTCACTTTTAAAGACTGATGTCCAGAATGCTTGGAACTGCTCTGTACTGGCTGGGCCTCATGGAGTGGTGAGAAACCTGACAAGAATTTTACATCAGTGATCCTGCCATGTGCTTCTATGAACGCATGTGCTGATGTGATGGATGGTAAATCTCTGAGGGCACATTGTAGGCACCAAGAACTTTTTTTTCAGAGACTTCAGTTGGTTTAAAAGTGAATAACTGATTAAGTTATAAATTTTAAAGGCTGTTTTCTAAATTAATCTTCATATTCTGTTTATAAATCTATCCTTTTTAAATAAATAACTTTAAAGCAGCTTTTTACTCGTGTTTTCAAACTTAGAAAAACTCATTTAAACATGCAAGTTACCTTGTTTACAAATATGATATGTTAGACTTTCTTTTGGAGTGTTTTGAATTTTATGACACAGTCTCCCAAGTACTTAAGTACTTCTCAGAATTCTAGTAAATGTCCTTAAAGTTTTCAAATGTAGTGTTTGTATACCTAGATTGTAATCCCAAGTATTTATCCAGCACTAATCACATGTTAGATTGGAAGCATAACATAGGCTTGTTTATCTCACATTTCTTACACAAGTTACGTGCATAAAATGCCAAATGCACAGATCTTCTGAGCAGTGGATTATCCTAAATATTCCTGTACTTTATTTGATTCTTCCTGGGGTAGCTGATGTAGCTAATAGTTTGCTCATGACACATGAAGTGTTCAGAATCTCTGGCCATAAAAGAAATGCAAATCAAAACTACATTGAGATTTTACCTTACCCCAATTAGAATGACCATTATCAAGAAAACAAATAATAACAGATGCTGGAGGGGATGTGGCCAAAAGAGAATGCTACTTCACTGTTTGTGGGAATGTTAACTGGTTCAACCACTCTGGAAAGCAGTATGGAGGTTCCTCAAAAGACTAATCATAGAGCTCCCCTGTAACCCAGCAATCCCACTCCTGGGCATTTACCCAAATGATCACACACAAGCCCACACGAAAGCTACCAGCACAGCTATGTTCATTGTAGCATTATTTACCATAGCTAAGATATGGAATCAACCCAGATGCCCCTCAGTAGATGAATGGACCAAGAAAAATTGTGGTGTATATACACAATGGAATTCTACATTTCCATCAGAAAGAATATTGTTCCATTCATAAGGAAATGGAAAGAGTTGGAAAAAAATCATATTAAGTGAAGTAAGCCAGACCCAAAGAAACATAGGCTCCATGGTTTCCCTCATTTGTAATAATTAGTATATGCCTAGGATAGTCTTAACAGAGGATCACAATAGCCCAACAACTATGACCAAAATAAAATGATGCTAATTGAAATGATCTCCATGATATGGAAACACAGGTTTGTGTGTGTATGTGTGTGGTGGTTGTGGTTTGGTTTTTCTTTAGTGTATTGTTTGCAGTTATTTCCTCTGTCTTGTTTTTTTCTCCTCTGGTTTAGTCCCTGTGGTCACTGTTTCCCATTTCAGTACCCTTTGTCTTGTATACAAGTTTATCAGATTTGGGGAATAGAAGGGAAAATCAGAAAAGGTGGGACAAAGGGTAAACCAATGCAACAGCAATACTAG